TATTTATTTCACTATTTATCATTTAAATACAGTAAAATATGCATAACACAAGTTAATATGTCAGTTTTATTTTCCACAGAACATAAATTTTACGTAAGCAAATCTTCATTTAAAAAAATTTTTGTAATTCATATCCCGTAGTTTATATTAAAAACCAAAATGTTGACAAAAAATCTGCGTCTTTTTTAAAGTATATGGAGAAAGGGGAAATTTGGGTAAAAAAATTGGTTTTTTGGGGGAAAAATAAACAATTACAAAATTTGCAGCATTCTGTTTAACAAAAATTTTATACATATATTTTCCTGGAAAAAAATCCCATTTAGAATAAATTTTTTAACACTCTACAAAAAAATGGGGTCTAAAAAAATATAACAGGAGATGGGTCTACATGTTTTCATAACATCCCCCCATTAAATATCTTTTCAAGGACACACAGAAAAAATATTTAAAATGAAAAACCATCCCCCCCCCCACTTAAGTCACTAACATGACACTAGGGTTTTGGCGGGTTTCCCTTTGTTTAAACAAAAACACCAAAAGAGGAAGCTGTTACAATGTCTTTTGGAAGCTGATATGGAAAATCATGGCTAACCCATACCACACAATTGACTTGCCAATTTTTTCAATCTTGGCAGCCAAACCATTCACTAATTGGTGCCCAAAAGAAGGTATTTCTTTGGTATATAAAATTATTAAAGGTTGATTGATATATGCATGTAATTAGGGTCCTTCCTAGGTTTGAGAAATGCCATAGGAACATCATAATGAGTGAAGGAGTGACAAAAAAGTACAATGTGGATATACATAAAAGCAAGAAAAGGTCATGTAATGAAAGAACACAGCATGCCGTAATTTTCTAAATTTGTTTCAAAGTTTATTATAAAAACAACATGAAAATTTATTGGTTTAATAAATGGAAACAAGAGATGTAACTTTAATTATTACAACATTTCTATTTCATATGTTCAGTATCAACTTCTCAGCTACATCTAAGGAGACCTGGTAAGATAAATGAGGTCACCTTTTATTACAAATGGTAAAATGGCATTCAATGTTTTGCTTCATAACAGTTATTAGTGGTGACATTTCATTTCAAATGATGAACAGTTGATGGTCTATGTCAATGGTGCTGATGTTGACATTATGTTTAAAATAGTTAAAACAGTAATTTGCAAATGGTAAGTGGTGATGATGTCATTTCATCAAAGTGATGTGATTGATATATTGTTTAAAAAGCATAAGAAAATTGGGTGAAATTTTGTATCAAATAGTTTAGCATGACAGTAACCTTTAGACTGTATCATATAATTTTGCATGATGGTGACATTCTGTATTAAATGGCTCATTGGAGATGGTGACATTCTGTATCATATAATCTTGCATGATGGTGACATTCTGTATTAAATGGCTCATTGGTGATGGTGACATTCTGTATCATATAATTTTGCATAAATGGCTCATTGCATGATGGTGACATTCTGTATCATATAATTTTGCATGATGGTGACATTCTGTATCAAATGGCTCACTGGAGATGGTGACATTCTGTATCATATAATTTTGCATGATGGTGACATTCTGTATTAAATGGCTCACTGGTGATGGTGACATTCTGTATCATATAATTTTGCATGATGGTGACATTCTGTATTAAATGGCTCATTGGTGATGGTGACATTCTGTATCATATAATTTTGCATGATGGTGACATTCTGTATTAAATGGCTCATTGGTGATGGTGACATTCTGTATCATATAATTTTGCATGATGGTGACATTCTGTATTAAATGGCTCATTGGAGATGGTGACATTTCTGTTATTAAATGGCTCATTGGTGATGGTGACATTCTGTATCATATAATTTTGCATGATGGTGACATTCTGTATTAAATGGCTCATTGGAGATGGTGACATTCTGTATTAAATGGCTCCACTGGAGATGGTGACATTCTGTATCATATAATTTTGCATGATGGTGACATTCTGTATTAAATGGCTCATTGGTTATGGTGACATTCTGTATTAAATGGCTCACTGGTGATGGTGACATTCTGTATCATATGGCTGAGTTGTGATAGTGGGATTTCAATTAAAGTGACTAAGTACTACCTTATAGTGGCATTATAGTTCTAACGGTTAAGAAGTGAAAGTGATATTCATTATAAAAAAGGTGACAGTGACATTCTGTTTACAAATATTCAGTTTAGATGGTGACATTTCATTTTCAAAAAACTACTAAAGTACTACTAGTAGCAATCTTAAATTATCAAATGTATAAGAGGTGACGGTGACATTCTATTATAAAATGGTAATTCAGAGGTGATGATTAGACTGCTTTAAATTGGTGACATTTGGAGACATTATATCTATCTACTTCATCTCTTTTCTATATTTATGTCAAAAAATCTGAAAACTGTCATCATTTCTTATCCTCTTCATTTCAGTCCTGGCTCAGTGTGAACTAATGTTTGAATCAAGCAAAAGAATAACATCAGCATACACCAGTTAATTTAAGTCAGTAAGCCAATTCAGCCATTTATATTAAATAACAAGCAAAAACTGATTATTCATGAGTTCACCACACTTTGTTGCAATATTTTATGACTTGAAAATCAAACAGAAGCCAAAAGGCTATCAAACTTGCGTGTACATAAGCTATTCTTTGATGTAACAGTTTTATTTGCTCTTGATTTGTTTACATTTTGTACAAAATATTGCTATTTAACAAGTCTGAACGCACTATTCACTCCTTTAACTTGATACTGAACACATTACTCTAGTTGTTTAATATCTCATTTATCATACCCTTATAACATGTAATCACCTTCACAGCTTGTATAGGTAAAACCTTAAATGAAATATCATATCACAAAAAAAATACCCAGATTGCATTTTTTACCTTATAAATTAATATGAAGTATGAATATAAAAAATTTAAAGTACTCCATTTACAAAATAAGATTTGCTTCACATACCAGCATTTTGGACTCTTAGCGTTATACAGCATCATTAACTCTTAAGGCACTAAATATCTTAAATGGACTAAAGTGTCCATCTTTCATTATCAGGCTAAAACTCAACATTAAGTTTTAGGAAAATTTTGAAGTACAATTATTGTATGTACTGATGAGCAATATACTAATTAGCCACCATTGCAGACCATGATCTTTGGTCTGCACTGGTTGCAATAGTTACTTACATGTAAAGAATCACTTGCCACTAGAAGGCTAAGGGTAAAATATAACTGTTTTTGGAATGCTCATTTAAGTCTATAATAACCATGACAACCATGTACATACCAATTTAAGCCCAGGACTTTTACATAATGTAGGTCTCTGTAAACTGTTCTAGATACAAGCAGGCTGTACCAGAATATAACCACTAACCATAGGTGCAATAAACCTTCTGGATAGCTTGTTTACACGAAACAATCCAAATGTCCCTGGTTTGATTTGAACTTACAGTTGTGAGACGCAAGTGGTGAGAAGGCAACAACCTTTCGTTCTTCACCATCCTATTTTGAATTCTAACGTCAAATTAATTTAGTCAATACTGTTGATGATGATGATTGCTTTATAATGATTGGGAATGATATTGATATCATTCCCAAATAATTTACAGATTTTTTTTTAATGAATCATGGTTTGACTTATATTATGTCCAGTTTACATCTAGTTTCCCAAGTTTCTACCTAATTCAACCAAACACCTCTGCAAGGTCAAATGAACTCATAAAAAATTAGCATAGATATATACTATGTAATAAATCATTTCATTACAGAGAAAATGATCTTTACAATCTTACATACATCATACTTTACTTGTGTAAGAAACATCTCAAGAAAAAGAAAGAGGAGTCCCATAGGGGACAGGAAATGCCATGGTGTTCAAGAAATACATAATGGTATATCAAAGGTCAATTACTGTCCTCAAGTAACTTAACTTTGGCTAGTTATTACCTAATTATCAATTTTCTTAATTTCATACGAAGATTATCAAAGCCTCTGTTGTTTGTTAGATTATCAATTCCAAGAATCAAGTTCTGTGCACTGAGATTTTTTGCTGAATTTATAAATGACATGGAGATAGGATGGAGATAGGTGAATTGAAAGCAGCACTTAATTTATATCAAAGGGTCATCACCTGAACTATAATGTATCAATTAAAAATCAAATGCAGTCATTTTCATTGGTAAATGTTTCATAGTTGAATATTAAATTGTTTTATGATTGTAACATCATTAAATCATAGCATGTAATAAATTTTGACAATATATTTTGCATAAAGTGCCTTTGCTGACAACGGTTGTTGACTTGTAATGTTGATACCTCATCTTTTTTCAGGAAGTTTTGGGACAAATTTTACTAATACATGTACTACTAAAATAGTTTTTTAAATTAGTAGCAAATTCATGAAAAAAAACCTAAGTCACAATAATGTCACAGTGTCACATGTACCTCTAAGTACCAATAATGTCAGTGTCACATGTGCCTCTAAGTACCAATAATGTCAGTGTCACATGTGCCTCTTAGTACCAATAATGTCACAGTGTCACATGTGCCTCTTAGTACCAATAATGTCAGTGTCACATGTGCCTCTAAGTACCAATAATGTCAGTGTCACATGTGCCTCTAAGTACCAATAATGTCAGTGTCACATGTGCCTCTAAGTACCAATAATGTCACAGTGTCACATGTGCCTCTTAGTACCAATAATGTCAGTGTCACATGTGCCTCTAAGTACCAATAATGTCAGTGTCACATGTGCCTCTAAGTACCAATAATGTCAGTGTCACATGTGCCTCTAAGTACCAATAATGTCACAGTGTCACATGTGCCTCTTAGTACCAATAATGTCACAGTGTCACATGTGCCTTTTAAATTACAAAAATACACTAAAAATTGGTATTACTAAAGCTATTGAAAGAGGGCAGCTTTGGCTTTATTACAATATTGTACCCGCAAGATATGGTGAACAATAAGGAAATAAACTCAACTTACGTCAATTATATCTTTGTTTGTCCTGCTCTCGTGAGGTTCATTATATTCTGTATATTTGAGTAGAACTTTGTCCATGTCCGTGCTTGCGTACTGGAACAATTTGTTAGCACTGTTGAAAATGATGAGAGCTATCTCACAGTCGCATAATACGCTCAGTTCATATGCTTTCTTCATGAGCCCAAATTTTCTCTTTGTGAATGTTACCTATATCATAAACAAAACAGAATTTTGTTATCAATTTAAACAAAAGATGTATTCCTGCATGACGATTATAAATTGCGCACCCTTTCTAGACCCCCTTTCTAGACCCTTTCTAGACCATTTATAAAATTCATATTATGACAAGGGCAGTAACTTTGATAGGATAACTGAAATTATGGAACATTTTCTCAACTGTGAACATAAGGGTTTATAAAGACACAGAGTGAAATTTGAACAAATACAAATGTAACATGTGGAGTGTGAATCAATGGAATTATCGAGAACAAGTTTTGAGGGTTGTTGACCATAAAAAAAACTAACAAGCTAGTACTTTTGTCTATAAAAAAATAAAGGGCACAAGCAGAAATAAATTTTAAAATCATTGCAACGACATTGTGTTGTTTTCCATTTTATAATCATACTGGACTCATTTCCTACAACTACTTCCTGGGTGTTGCAGTATTGAAAATGTTAAAGTGCTTGTATACTTCCTTAGATGTTACAGACTTGTTTAGTCACATTTACATGCATGTACATGCGTTTAATTCTTAACATGTCATTGCTGCTTTCCCTCATTGATTATTATAAACAGTCATTTTTCACATACAAACATCTTAAAACATAATTTAATTAATTTTCTCCAGCTTTTCTTCAAAATTTTCAATTTTGTAATAGCACTATTTAAAAATACATGTATATTAAAAACCATACTTTTAAAACTTTTCAAGGGAATTAACCATTTGAGCAATGGTCATGATTATAAATGACTGCAGCCATTGCCTCTTGTTTGTGCTACTGACTAATTTGCACAATATGTGAAGACTGCTTAATTAAGGCATTATGACATAAAAAATCTCTCACAAATATTTAACTCAACAACCAATATGTATAAAAGAGGAAGAGTCTAATTTAGAAATTCAATAAAAAAAGGAAATTATGAACCCGGCAATAAAACGGCAATAAAAAGCAATGTCAATAATCATCGTCCTGTACAAGATGGAATGTCGTTTTTGTATAATCAGCGGCATTATTCCTGGTATAGCCAATCATGCCACATTGTGCGGTAACTGTGTACGATTTGCAACTATAACAAATATCAACCTCCTATATAATTATCATGGAGACTTATGCTAACTGGATTGCCTGACTCTGATTGACGTATAACAGAAGTCCACAAAAAGTTTCATTTTGCTTCATTAGCTCACTTTCTCGAATCGTAAACAGATTTCTTTGCACACACTAAGCCGCTTTTATTGTCACAATGCTCAGATATCATTTCATGCACTGAATTCATTTGTTGACAAGACCCACCACTAAAATCAATAAGTAAATAAGTTCTATGACAAAAGTTACGAGAGACGAGGATTGCTGTTATGGGGTAATATAACACTGTTCCTGATCCAATTTCTAGAGGCCGCGGTTTCAAAAGCTCAACTTTTTTTTTTTTTGCTAATAAATCAACATTGATTGTCCCCCAAGAGTAGATTTCAACGTGTTAACCCATGCATGCCGCCTGATTTCGAGACCCTATCAGACTCTGTCTGCATGCACGCCCACGTAAACTTGACAGATACAGGAATCATTTGCAGGCAATGTAATTACATCAAATGCAGGAAACCTTGTACGTTTCTCTCCTGTTGTTTCAAACTAACAGTTAAAACACTTCCACAATCAGTGACTGGAAAACTCAATGAGGCAGTAAGACAATCGTTACTATCATTCCGATTTCAGACTAGAAATTTTAGGTTATATTTTATTGAAAAACGCATCAACCACAGCATTTGAAAGTATCGCAAATGGATCTCTATTGGGTTATAAATTGTTGTTGCACCTTGATAATATCTAAGTTAATATCTGTACACTTTAGTATTAGGAAATGTTAGCCATGCTCATGGTTCCAGACAACAACAATAAAATTTCAAGGTGACGGGAAGATGTTTGTTAGTTAATATTATAGGAATAATTTTAATGTTACTTTAGGAAGAATATAAAGCCCCACTTTACGAAAAAAGGTCGCACTCGACATCAATATCATGGTAAAAGTAATAAGAAAATAAAACAGCTCTTAAATGGCTTCCAATTAATCTGGAAATATAATCACGGTTGTCAAGCTTTGGTAATCAAACTCTGAAAGCAGAACATCGACATAAATCTATTTGGTTTTATCATATTTACCAAAATCATAATTCATTGGCAAATTTATAACGTGAAATATACAAAGAAACAAATAGTTTACAAAATAATATACATGTATTTCAACAGTGATTGGCTAAAGTTATAAGCTGGCTAGCGATCGGCCCTCCCCCAATTCTATATGACACCTACCTGTCTGTTTCTCTCGTCAACAATACGAGAGATCTGTATCTTTTTCCGTCCCATTTTTTTGCCTGGAGGAGTGTCCGTCCCAGCTCCGACCCCCTGTTCTTGTACCTGAGCCACTATTGTAGATTTATCCGAACTTACAATCCTGAAAAAAGAGAAGAAAATTTTTGAGTGGCAGATTCCAAATAGTAACTTTTCTACTGCCATAAGCTTTCTTTCTTGATCTTTCTGTAATATTTCTCTCTCGCTCACTCGATCACTAAGTGTCCTTACTTTGATCTTTTTTAAAAGCATACGCATTAATATAAAACATAAATAAATTGTCAAGAAATATGAATTAATGCATTATTGAGTAAATTTGCCACATTGTAATTTTCTATTGCTGTGAATTCAATTAACAGTTTCTGTATTTATTGCAACAATAAATTCACAAAGTGCTTTGTCGTAAAACAATGAAAAGATTATTCAGCATTTGCAAGCTGTTGGTTGTATTGTGCATTCTGTAAGCTTTGGATTTCTTACAATCAGTCACTTTACTGAATTTGTGCCACTGACTCGCCATGATTTCATTCTGGTACTGTCTGTCCCTTGGTAGTAATGAATTTAATCTGTTAGTCTGTTACAACCAACAGTTGCCACCAGTATAGTGCCAATGAAGCAAGCCTACACATCCGTAAAGTCTAAACCAGGCTTTATACTGTCCAATGATCAACAGTATCAATATAATGTAGAAATAACAATAAATTTCAATCTTGATACACACAAAATTGGTAATGAACAGTCCCAAAAAAACAGAAAATCAACAGGCTTATTAAGTCAATTTAAGAAATTCAGCATGTTACTGGTTTGGTCATTTCAGTATCGGAAAACAAAAACTAGACTAGACCAGTGAACAGTTACACTAAAGCCTTGTCGGAACACTTGTATAAGGCGGCCTATACTGTCTCTATAAGGATGGCAAAGCTCTTTTATTATTGCTGCTAGCATCAGAAAGACTTTTAATGAAATGTAAGCATTGACAATGAAAATAACGATCAATTCATACCTTCACAGGGTTTTCTTTTTTTAAAAAGAAAATTAGAAGCTTTCTTTTTGAGATTGTGTGTTCATTCAATGAATGTAACTTAACAAGCTAAAATATTGACTGAATCATTTAACATCATGTACTAAAAGACAATCTAAAATAACATAAATAATTTTTTTTACAAAATAAAAAAAATATCCCAGACGTAATATTACACGCTTTCATTATTTAATTATGAGTAAAGCTGATTTGTTTTATGTACATTCTAGAACTTTTTTTTTATTTTCTTCAGATGCTCCTCCAATATTTTCAGCTCTCTGTCATAATCCTTATATATATCATTCCTATCTTATGAATAATCATTCATATCTTATGAATAATCTTCATATCTTATGAATAATCATTTGTATCTTATGAATAATAATTCATACCTCATGAATTCGAAGCTGTTAAAAATCACTGATTGCAAATTAAAGTTACTAATTATTATTTTTCATGATTATTTTTCAAATTGTTAAAATTTTTAAACATTTTATTTTCTGAAAGCAAAATACTGTGTTCTTTTTTTCTAATTCTGAGTAAGACTCATTTTTATTACATATATGGCCAGAAATTTCACTTGCAATTTGGAAAAGAAATTAAAATGTAATACTCTTCTTAAGTATGTATTACAAACTTAAAAAAAAAATCATGGTATAGTGAAAATTCTTAAAAGTGCTGACTGTAGTGAAATTAAAGTCAGTCTTTTTTTTGTAATGGTAAGTTGACTAAGAGATACCATGTTAATCATTAAATGACTATATATAGATTTAATAAACAAAATAAATACATACATTTGGATAGTTTAAGAATGTTTCCACCAACGCAAAATAGGTCTAAATTTGTAACCAAATCTTTCACAATTGCTAAAACGAGCGCAGAAATTTCTAATTCCAACGTCTTAGTCTAAATGCTTCCAAAATCTAGCAGAAATTGCCACATATGTAAAAATCATGTATTATTTCCAAATTTAGTTGAAATCGTTACTTTCTGATGATCATGTGACCGCAGCAATCCCTGAGAACAGAACAGACTGGGTTTCTAAAGTACGTAATAAAACTTATCAAAAGACCAGTCCATTAAACTGTAAGATTGAAATTCAATGGAAATGTCCAATTTACTGATAAGGGCTTCTTGACTTTGTGGTAAGATTTGAATTAAAGAGAAACTAATATATGTGCTACACTTTCCTTTTTAAAATCTTCATTTAAATGGGATATCTTTTTCTAATAATGTACACAACTGAACTTAAGAATTTTGTGTTTTCATTATTTCAAAAAGGATTCTTATCTACTTTCAAGCATGAAACTGAAACAAAATTTTTAATTACATATTTCAAAAAAAAAAAAAAAATTAATCAAAATGAAAGCTCTCAGGTATTTGTGTTTCAAATTAAGCATGCAATTTCATAAATTGTTACCATGGAAATGTCTCCAATTCTATCTTAACAAGTTTTTATACATTATATAAAATAAATGTATCATTATTAATGAACATTTCTGGAAGTCTTATCTTAATTTATCACATGAACAATGCTGATATAAAAAGTACATTTATTTCAATATAATTATGTCAACTAAAAGCAGTATAGGTTATATAACCATGCATAAACAGTTGTTTGTTATATGACCAAAGCTGCTATATATTTATATTAAGCCATATAACCTGTCAATAATCTTTATATACAGTACAGTTTCTTTTATATTGGGAAAAATGGATATTAATTTGTAAATTTACAGAAGCTGAGAGTATATTTGATGTAACCCAATGAAAATCACCATTGCAAACAAGCTGTATTAAAAACATACATAATTATATTAATATGATTCAATGTGCAACAGGAATTTTTCATTTAGACTAAAATTCTAAAATAAAATGTCATTTTACTAACAATAAATGTGATTCAGCAAAAATACATCAATTACTAAATGTAAACCTGACATGTACATCAACAAGAAATAAAACTCTATGACTCAAAATTTCAATATCTTATTTTCCATCCATACTAATATTCTATATTCCTTGGTAAAATTAATATGTATATCAAGTATCAATTCAATTTCAAGTAAACATCATTGTCAATTGCAACATGTTAATAATTTTTATGAAATTGAAGATATAAAAGGCAGGTGCCCCTCGAAACGACAGCCAAGCCTGTAACAATATGAAAGCAGGTGCCCCTCGAAACGACAGCCAAGCCTGTTACAATATGAAAGCTTAGGTGCCCCTCAAAACGACAGCCAAGCCTGTTAAATATGAAAGCAGGCGCCCCTAGAAACGACAGCCAAGTCTGTTACAATATGAAAGCAGGTGCCCCTCAAAACGACAGCCAAGCCTGTTACAATATGAAAGCTTAGGTGTCCCTCAAAACAACAGCCAAGTCTGTTACAATATGAAAGCAGGGCGCCCCTAGAAACGACAGCCAAGTCTGTAACAATATGAAAGCAGGTGCCCCTCAAAACGACAGCCAAGACTGTTACAATATGAAAGCAGGTGCCCCTCAAAACGACAGCCAAGGCTGTTACAATATGAAAGCAGGTGCCCCTCAAAACGACAGCCAAGGCTGTTACAATATGAAAGCAGGTGCCCCTCAAAACGACAGCCAAGCCTGTAACAATATGAAAGCAGGTGCCCCTAAAAACGACAGCCAAGTCTGTTACAATATGATGGTAGGTGCCCAAAAATGACAGCAAAGGCTGTTACAATATGAAAGCTTAGGTGCCCCTCAAAACAACAGCCAAGTCTGTTACAATATGAAAGCAGGCGCCCCTAGAAACGACAGCCAAGTCTGTTACAATATGAAAGCAGTTGCCCCTCAAAACGACAGCCAAGCCTGTTACAATATGATGGTAGGTGCCCTAAAATGACAGCAAAGGCTGTTACAATAGGAAGGCAGGTGCCTTCAAAATGACAGCCAAGCTTGTTACAATATGATGGCTGAATGGTGTCGCTGCTGGCCAAGAAAAATATTTCTCACAATAGATCAGTTCCAGTTTTCTTATTTTGTGAGTTTTTAGATGTTAAATATTTATGATCAACAAACATTGGTGCCATCTTAGGCTGGCATCATAGATATTAACTTTGAATTATCCATTTTTCTACAAGTAACAGACTACTAATCCCACATGACTTCTGAATCTGCGATGAGGGAAAAATGACTCAATGTCTTCAATGAATTCCGCCACACATAAGGATCATACCAGAGAGTGCTGGATTACAAATCTGATACTCTAACCATATTGAGCTAGGGCCATGCCAACCATGAATCTATTAGGAAATAAAGTTAAAAGAAATGTTTAAATATTCACAATCAACAATATTCTTTCATGAAAAATTTGGCTTAAAGTAATATTTTCATAACATATTTATTTATCTACACTGCATTTTCTCATTTAACGGAGTCAGTGCTATCTTTGCATATTTAATTGACACACATAAAATATTTAGGTAATAGCACTGACTATTTCAAGTACCTTACCCTTGGCTTTAATCATTTGATATCTATGCCTGAAATTATACTCTTTAAATCAAATTTTTTTCTTAGTTATCATTAGGATTTTATAACATGAATTTGGAGGCATTTTGCTTTAAGAAGAAAAGAAATACATTTTTTTTGTTAATGATTGTATCTTTCACTTGGCATCATGCACCATTTCCATTCAACCTAAAACTGTCCAGTATAATATTTCTTATCTATTATTATTTCACTGCATTATGCAGGATAAGATTATTTGTTTGTGGATTTTAAAAGGAGTCAAATATCAAGATTAAATTGTACAGTTAATGCCCTTCACCATGACACAAAAATCCTATGTTCAGTATTCAAAGTATAGACTAGACTGACTAAAATGGCACAAACTTGACATTATGACCGTCAAATAAACAGTTTGTAAAACTTGATTACTGGACTTTAAATATCACATGATCATATCAGTGTACATCCTTTTAGAGTACAGGACAATTTTGAAATCCTGTTGGCTTATATTTTTTAATTTCACAAGTCTTAATTGCACATTTCTAAATTCTTTCCTTGCTTAATTATGTCTTAAAAGAGGACTAAATTTTGTCTAATGAGAGATTACACATTCTTAAAGTAATTTACCAAGAAATCTATTCTTTAAAAGAACCACAACTGATGCAAGAATTAATGACAAAAACTCTGGCAATTTAATTGGTAGATTATTTTGGAAGCAGATAATGATTGGTCGAAAGTAACTGGTTTGCTTGAAAATGATTGGTTGGTATTACTTTGGTTTGAAAAAAATCTTAATATCAACATGTTTGATTTTTGTGATAACCCAAGGAAGAAAAAATTCTTTTAAATCTAACTGATAAATTTTCTGTGATGAGAGAATATCTACAATTTCATTAGCTTATTTTTACTTAATTATATAAAAAAAATCTTGTTTCTGATTGATTTAAAAAATCCATCCATGCTCTATGAATGGCTAAATTATCCAAGCATAGCAAATAATCCCCAGTATGTGATTGGTTGACTTTGAATTAGAAAAAAATTTATTCCTGAGAAATTGGTTGACTCATATTGATATACATGGCAATCTGATTTGTTCATCATAATTAAGGTCAAATTAAAATTAGTGATGGTTTGGCCAAGTAGTTAACACGTCAGACTAGAAATCTTAACGATTGCTCTGTATTGTGTGATAGAACTCCATTAGGAGACGAGCTGTTATTTCTTTGAGCAAGAATCTCAATTACACTCATTTTGCTTAGTACTGGTTGGTTCAAAAAAAGGAATGGGTTGGAGAATGGTGTCTATTAGCTTTAATAAAGCTTCCTAAATAATTGAGCTAAAATAAATTCTGTAGAAATTAAATACAAAATACTGGTATTTAAATTATTTGACTTGTTGAAAATATCACAAATCATTTAATCTAATAACACAAAGCTTATCTTCTGAATTTTTAGACAAATTTAAGTCTTGCTTTAGATTAAAAATAATTCCTTAAATAACAACTGGTAATAATGTAATATGTACTTTCAACATAAAAGAACTTAATTCATAAGGGATATCTGACATAGCAAACATAGATATTTTAGTGTGCCTGCCAAATGAATAAAACAAATTACAAGCATTTCATTCTGCATGCATGTCAGTCAGTTGCCATGGCCACCTACAAAGCCTATTCTACTATATTTTGAAGTTTAATCACTCATGTGAAAAGACTTGACTAAACAATGTGCGTCACTTCTAGCCATTTTCATGGAACATCACTTACTCCTTGCAATTTTCTAATGAACATGAGTTACTCCTTGCCATTTTCTATGGAACATGATTGACTCATAGCCATTAGCTATGGAACATCACTTACTCCTTGCAATTTTCTAATGAATATGAGTTACTCCTTGCCATTTTCTATAGAACATGATTGACTCATAGCCATTAGCTATGGAACATCAGTTACTCCTTGCAATTTTCTATGAAACATGAGTGACTTTAATAAAGCTATTTCTATGGAACATCATTTACTCCTGGCCATTCTCTATGAAATATAAGTAATACTCCTTGCAATTTTCTATGGAACATGAGTGACTTAAAGCTATTTCTATGGAACACGAGTGACTTAAAGCTATTGCTATGGAACATGAGTGACTTAAAGCTATTGCTATGGAACATGAGTGACTAAAAGCCATTTCTTTGGAACATCAGTTACTCCTTACCACTTTTCTGTGGAACATGAGTTACTCCTTGCAATTTTCTATGGAACACGAGTGACTTAAAGCTATTTCTATGGAACATGAGTGACTTAAAGCCATTTCTATGGAACAGGAGTGACTTAAAGCCATTTCTTTGGAACATCAGTTACTCCTGGCCATTTTTCTATGGAATATCAGTTTCTCCTAACCATTTTCTGTGGAACACGACTTTCTCCTGGCCATTTTCTATGGAACATCAGTTACTCCTGGTCATTTTCTATGGAACATCAGTTACTCCTGGCTATTTTCTATGGAACATCAGTTACTCCTGACCATTTTCTATGGAACTTCAGTTTCTCCTGGCCATTTTCTACAGAACATCAGTGACTCTTTGAAATTTTCTATGGAACATCAGTTACTCCTGGTCATTTTCTATGGAACATCAGTTACTCCTGGCTATTTTCTATGGAACATCAGTTACTCCTTACCACTTTTCTGTGGAACATGAGTTACTCCTGGCTATTTTCTATGGAACATCAGTTACTCCTGGCCATTTTCTACAGAACATCAGTGACTCTTTGCAATTTTCTATGGAACATCAGTTACTCCTGACAATTTTCTATGGAACATCAGTTACTCCTTTCAATTTTTTATGGAACATCAGTTACTCCTGGCCATATACTATGAAACATCAGTTACTCCTGGCCATTTTCTTGGAACATCAGTTACTCCTGGCTATTTTCTATGGAACATCAGTTACTCCTTTCAATTTTCTATGGAACATCAGTTACTCCTGGCCATATACTATGGAACATCAGTTACTCCTGGCCATTTACTATGGAACATCAGTTACTCCTGGCCATTTACTATGGAACATCAGTTACTCCTGGCCATTTACTATGGAACATCAGTTACTCCTGGCCATTTACTATGGAACATCAGTTACTCCTGGCCATATACTATGGAACATCAGTTACTCCTGGCCATATACTATGGAACATCAGTTACTCCTGGCCATTTACTATGGAACATCAGTTACTCCTGGCCATATACTATGGAACACGAGTTACTCCTGGCCATTTTCTATGGAACACGAGTTACTCCTGGCCATTTACTATGGAACAGGAGTTACTCCTTGCAATTTCATATTGAACATGAGTTAGTCCTTGCAATTTTATATTGAACATGAGTTAGTCCTTACAATTTTATATGGAACAACTCTGGAGTTCCCTGACACAGCAAAAGGCATTACGGTTATATAATTGGGAAAGCATAATATACATGTATGTTTCAATTGGCTTCAAATTTCCAATATCAGTACAAAATCAGCTGAAAACAAACTTTCTAACTATTATGATACACTATTAACTCTGAAGAAAAGGAATAACAGAATTCTACTTTTCAAGCGAAAACATTGAAAGTTTACACGTTTGACTGTAATTGTTGCAGATATTATCATGAGATTTTCTTCCATAGATAAGTAATGCTGATCACAACATAAATTATATATATCAATTAAAAATACAGCAATTAAGCATGAAAATGAAATAAAACACGGAACACAATACCTTTATTGCCTACAAATATCTATAATCACTATAAGATGTTTCACCTATTACCAGATTGCACATTGATTTCATGTATCATAAAGCTGTTTTCCAAAGAAATAATACTCAGATTTTCACTTTTTTAAACACTTAATTTGTAATTCCTGTCTAGATCTATGACATGTTATGCTGCAACACCTTGGTGTCGAGGCAAAATATATTTAACGGGTTTAATAACCTCATACCCCAATCTCCATGTTTCAGTAATCAAATAACTAGCATTATGAACTAGATATTATAGACTTGGCATAATTATCACATCACATTTTTTACACATTACGCAGACTGAGACATATATTTTAAAAACGGTAACGCAAAATTAACAGTGACCTCCCCTAATTACACATATGTATATCAAATTGCGTCTGCTTTTCCGCTACAAGATATTCCTGTATACACTCATGTTAATGGTTATAAGAAAAGCTGGTAAGTGTGGCCTGTAGGGAGTTATATATCCATGTAATAAATGTTACTCTGATTCGTCTGCTTCTGTTTTTCATCAAGAGAAAATTATGCAATGTTGTTTTTCCCAGCAACCTGCATAATCATACTGTTAGGACAAAACAATTAAAATTTAATGGAAAGAAAGTCATGATGTATGTAAGTACATCATCATTTATTTTCAAATGATTGATTTTTAAATCATACATGCTATTGAATTCTATATTAAAACAAGGCACCTGTGTATCAGTACAAAGGGTTACATTGGTGACTTGTACTTAATATGAAAATCTGGAAAAGGGGTGATCCCTCAAAAACACTAAAGGGATTTATATATCAGAACAATTGAAGAATTTATATATCAGAACAATTGAAGAATTTATATATCAGAACAATTAAAGGGATTTATATATAAGAACAATTGAGGAATTATATATCAGAACAATTGAGGAATTATATATCAGAACAATAAAGGGATTTATATATCAGAACAATTAAGGAACATTATATCAGAACAAGGGCTTTGTAGCAGGACAATTAAGGGATCTATATAACAGGACCAATTAAGGGACATAATTATATAAGAACAATGAAGTGATTTCAAACAAGCAAAAAATTCACTTCCAATTCTTTTTTGTATGTTTGTTTTGATTTTCCCACAGCCAATAAAATCATATGGCAAATCTCCAGCTATCATATTAAAGAAAGAAGCTCTTTATAACTATACAATTTGCTTGTATTACTGAATCTTTCTTTATAACCTTTCATATGTGGAGGTTTGTAAGTTGAATGTAACTAAAGTGAAAAAAGTAAACAGGTTTAATAAATAAAGATGTTTTATTTGTTTTGATTTTATTTAAGGTAACACTAATACAGTTAATGTCATAAAATGACTTTCCAGCTCTACTGGTAGGTAGAAGGAGACTTGAGTTGCCCTTTTGTGCATAATATTTCAGGCATGAGCAGGCACCCAAGTAGAACCACCAACCTTCTGTAAGCTAGCTGGACAGCTTTCTTATATGAAAGAATCCAAAGTCTCTGCCACAGTGGTGAAGGCCATGTGATTTGAAGTTGGCACCATTTTGCCACAGAGGCCCTTGTTAAAATTTACCGTTCATGTATAAAAGTCTTATATTTTAAATGTTGTATTTTACTTGTTAACTTTTTGTTTGGAATGTAAAAAAATAATTACAAAATTCCTGGATTAAAAGAACTTTGTCAGTATAATTATGACCTTGAAAGCAAGACTTAAGAGGGGCAACTGTGCAAAATCATCCTTCAACTCTACTAGAAATAGCAACTTACTATGATGTGCTTATGCTCAAAATTCAAGTGTTTTAAAGAATTAAGACATTATTTGTTTACTTTAGCCTTTTGGCACATTCTACCCTCACAAACAGACCAAGATGGGCCTGGCCACTTCCGTGCCATACGGTTTGTTATTCAGTCAGCAAATTATACTTTTGAATGGTTTTGTCCAGATTTTAAGATGGACAAGTTCATTTAAAATATTAACTGTGGCAAGGTTTAATTTTTTGATAAAAATAAGCATAAGATTTTTGCATAATATACAATATTGTATACAGCATTTAGACTATAATTAAATGTGAATTGGTAAAAACAAAACCAAAAACAAAACCAAAAACAAAACCAACAAGATTGCATTTGAGAAAAATGCTATGCCACCGCATTAATACAACACTAAATAGTAGTGTAGGAACATATTTTTTTTGTTTCTATACAATTGAAGATTGTCATAATGCATAGATCCCTGACCTATCTAATTCTTATTATCAGATAAGTGATTAAATCTATTGTTAATCAAATAAAAGATCAGAGCAGGAATATATCAATGCACATGAGTCTAGTGAATTTGGTGGTGAAGGTCATATTTCACGCAGCCTAAATTTCATGACTACATCAAAGGACAACACAGTAAGACACTTTGTCAAAATCTAGGTAAGCTGATATCAAAGATCACTTTACATCTTAATCTGTGCACATGGTTCAAATTTCATAGCTGTAGATCAAAGCACAAGAAAGTAGGTCACATTATCAAAATCTAGGTCACCTGATATCAAAGTTCAATTTTACAACTAAAACTGTGCACATGGTCAACATTTCATTGCTGTACATCAAAGGACAAGAAAGTAGGTCACTGTCCCCTTGGTCCAGGCAAAATTTTGACCCAAGGGTTTAATTCAAAACAATCTTGATACAGGTCCACCAAACAACATTTCCAGTCAAACATCTAAGCTGAAGCTTTCTCCCATTCAGAAAACATTTGTTTTATTTTCTGTTTTTACTATGTGTACATAATGAGAATCATGCCCCCGGGCAGGGCCAGTTTTGACACCAGGGGAAAAATTTGAATAACTTTGGTAGAGGACCTATAGATGATATAATATAGCAAACATGAAAGCTCTATGCCTTGTACCTTCAGACAAAAATATTTTTTATTTTTTTACTAGATATACATAATGTAAATCAATGACCCCGGGCAGAACCAATTTTGACCCCAGGGCTAAAATTTGAACAATCTTAGTAGAGGTTCACTTCGCAAAGTCTGATGCCATATATTTAAACTCTAGCCTTTGTCAATTCAGAGAAGAAGATTTTTCAAGTTTTTACTTTATACATATAAGGAAATCTAGCACCTCTGGGGCAGGGTAATTTCAACACTAGGGGCATAATTAAAACAACTTTAGTAGAGGACCCAAAGATGATATTATATACCAAATATCAAAGCTTTAAGCCTTGTACCTTCAGATAAGAAGATTTTTTAATTTTTTACTCTATGTTCATAGTGAAAATCAATTGGCCCCTAGGGGTGGGGCCAATTTTGACCCCAGGGCTATAATTTGAACAATCTTGCTAGAGCTTCACTACACAATGTTTCATGCAAAATATCTTACCTCTAGCATTTGTCAATTACTAGAAGATTTTTTTTACTGTAAGTTTTTACTGTAAGTTTTTACTGTAAGTTTTTACTATATACATATAAGGATAACAAATGACCCCTGGGGCGGGTCGATTTTGACCCCAGGGCTATAATTTGAACAATCTTGGTAGAGGTCTACCAGACAATGTCTTATGCAAAATATCTAAGCTCTAGGCCTTTTGGGTCCTTATAAGAAGGTATTTTAAGTTTTAACTATATGTACATATAGTGAAAATCAATGACCCCTGGGGCGGGGCCGATTTTGACCCCAGGGCTATAATTTGAACAATCTTGGTAAGGGTCTACCAGACAATGCCTTTATGCAAAATATCTAAGCTCTAGCCCTTTTGGGTCTTTACAAGAAGGTATTTTAAGTTTTTTACTATATGTACATACAGTGAAAATCAATGACCCCGGGGCGGGGCCCATTTTGACCCCAGGGCTATAATTTGAACAATCTGGGTAGAGGTCTACCAGACAATGCCTTATGCAAAATATCTAAGCTCTAGGCCTTTTGGGTCTTTACAAGAAGGTATTTTTAGTTTTTACTATATGTACATATAGTGAAAATGAATGACCCTGGGGCGGGGCCTATTTTGACCCCAGGGCTATAATTTGAACAAATCTGGGTAGAGGTCTACCAGACAATGCCTTATGCAAAATATCTAAGCTCTAGGCTTTTGGGTCTTTACAAGAAGGTATTTTTTGTTTTTACTATATGTACATATAGTGAAAATGAATGACCCCTGGGGCGGGGCCTATTTTGACCCAGGGCTATAATTTGAACAATCTGGTAGAGGTCTACAAGACAATGCCTTATGCAAAATATCTAAGCTCTAGGCCTTTTGGGTCTTTACAAGAAGATTTTTTAAATTTATTCTTATAATTCCTTTCGGTTGCCATGGCAACCAGATTTCTGCATGGAATGAAATTCTTTGAACAACTTTGGAAGCCCTTCACCCAAGGATCAATCCTGCCAAGTTTGGTTTAAATTGGACTAGTGGTTTTTCACAAGAAGATTTTTTAAGTTCACTATATAATCTATATAACACACACACACACAAACAAACACACACACACACACACACACAGGTGAATCGCTATATGCCACCGCATCGCAGATGCTGCGGTGGCATAAAAACAAAACCAAAATATCATGTTTTAAATCTTTGTAAAACCTTACTATCAGAGCTGTCACCAAATGATTATAGATTTTCTGCCCAGTTATCACTTTTAGCAAATTTAACGCAAATTTAACAACCCACAACAAATTTCACGGGTAAATGAACCTGCGTCAATAAAAAAAATAATATATCAATATTCTACAAAAGCATTTGTGCAGATTCAACAATAACTTGCTTTCAATGACAAAAATCAACTGCCTGTATTATCCAATCAAAACCAATAATCACCCCACTTAAAAAGTAAATAACAATCGAGTAAGTCAAATGTTAAAATGGAAAATATGTTATGAACATTATAATGTTTAGATTTCTCTCTGTAACAGAGAAAGCTATTATTTTTAGTGTTTCTTAAACAAATTAATATAGCTGATTATAAAATTGTTAACTTGTTTGTTGTTTGTCTGTATGTTTAGCTTGATTAAGTGTCAGTTTTTCCTACTCTATTTCAGGCGCATTATTTTACTGGAGGTGTTACTTAGTTCCAGCAAGCATTTTTTAGGTTAAATCACTTTTGGTTAGGTTAAATCACTTTTGGTTCCAGCAGGAAAAGGTTAAATCACTTTTGGTTAGGTTAAATCACTTTTGATTCCAGCAAGCAAAGGTTAAATCACTTTTGGTTCCAGCAAGCAAATGTTAAATCACTTTTGGTTCCAGCAAGCAAAGGTTAAATCACTTTTGGTTCCAGCAAGCAATTGTTAAATCACTTTTGGTTCCAGCAACCAAAGGTTAAATCACTTTTGGTTAGGTTAAACCACTTTTGGTTCCA